TCCCTTTTTAATGGAAAACTAAATGGAAGAGTTATATTATCATTAATCTTGTTAAATTGAGTCTTTAACTAGGAATTTGAAGAGTTTTAAGCCCAACAAATAATTTTATAAAAATACTTCATAAAAACATCTGCATGATGATTCGAACCTGGGTGGCCAATAGGAAATACCATACAGATGACCATTGTGGCAACCCAGTTATTCATTAAATCTTTGAAATCAAATTTACTTAAACTTAATATCTTAAAGTATTGGGCTTATAAATAACTTATGGCTTGTACTTTCATAACCCTAAATGGGCCAAGCTTATTTCTTAAATGGGCTACACCAACTAAATTAAGACTATAAAATCTGGGACATTACACCTCTGCCATCTTAACGTCTTTCTTCGGGGGCCTTTACCATTTCACCGTCGAGTACCATATTTATCCATCGCGGTTAAGCCTTTCTCAAGGAATTAAGGTAACATTCTCTAGAGCCCATCTGGTCGCCTCGGACAGAGGTGATTCCTCATTCAGTAGGGAATTTCATACACAAGTGATGTATAGAAGTGACTGCCCATAATTCTTTCAGGGCTGGTCTTCCCAGCACTCCGTAGTACGCGGACCGACGGTCAAAAACTAAGAATTCCATGAGTGCCAGTTGGGGTGGGGTTCCCATTTCCACAGCCAGAGTAATCTTATATCTGGGAATAAAGCTATCTCTGATAAATCCGTATAGGGGCGAAGTCATTTTGTCAAAAGCCATTCCAAACAGGACGTTGATAGAGGTTCCATTGTCTACTAACATGCGTTTCAGCCCGTTGCGGGCCACCACAGCTCTTACCACCAGAGCGTCGCAGTGCGGATAGTGCACGTCGGCTGCGTCCTCTTGGGTAAATGCAATAGGTTCCATGACTCTTCCTCTTTGGGACTGGTTTACTATGTAGCTGGACATAGGTGGATCCTTGGCCTCCCTAGTGTAATTCTTCTGAGTGTTCCTGGATTCACCACCCACATGGGGTCCTCCGATGATTGTGTCAATTTCTCGAATGGGTTGTCGTACGTTCGTGGTGGCGGTGTCCCTCCTAGGGCGGTGTCCACTTCGAGGCCTTTCTCTGTCATTATTTCTGTTATTTCAAAGGAGAGTGGTGCCTCATTTCCCCTCTCCTTGGAGAGCTTTGCCCCGGTGTATTATCTTGGTAATGGTTCTCCCTTATGTTACAGGGGTTGCTCATTGGCCTATTGGCTTCCCTACACTCATTTGTGTTTTTGCTATGGAAGCGATGAAAAGTACAATATGGTCATGTCTCCTCTTGAGGCCTTATCTCTAGGCCTACCGCCTATTCCCCTATTTCTAGAGGTATTCCTAGCTGGGTTGCCAATGCTAGGTCCAATATTTTCGTAGGCCAGCACTGGCACGGTATTCAATGGGCGATGGTCAACGCCTATCCCGAAGTGGGAACCACAGCGTGCCCGACCTGAGTCCATTGTCGACTTACTATCTGGGATGTAGGCCTTCTGCCGATCTGTCTCTAGGGTGGAGGAAGTCCTTGAGCTGCCCTGTTTCGGTGGTCAATCATTTCCTCATTGACAATATCAACCTTCATCATTTCTACCAGCTCGTAACAGGTCGATGGGTTTTTGCTTCGAACATCTCTCCAAAATAGAGTATTCATGTTCAATCCTCCCTTCAGGGCCGAGAGGGCCTCTTTATCTGTCACTTGCTCACATTGGGTAATTTCATTAGTGAAACGGGTAAGGTAGTCTTTTAGCGTCTCCCCTACGGCTTGTCTCATGTCTTGTAAGCATTGGATTGGCATTTCTCCCTCATTCCTTGACAGATACTAGTTTAGAAACTCCTACTTTAGGTCTGGCCAGCTCCGTATGCTAAGTGGTGCCAACTTGCTGTACCACACTTCGGCAGCACCACTGAGTGGCGCCTCTGAGGCTCATTCGTGTCTTGTACTTGTTGAGATGCTTCTCTGGGTCACCTTTCTCTTCATACTTTGGAATCTTAGGAGGATGAAGTTATGCGGCATGGGGAAGCTGCGGAGCTCCCTAGAGAAGGGAAGGTTGTCATCATCATCATCCAGCTCGTAAGATCGACAAAGCCCGTCAGAGTTGCTCCCGTGTTACTGGACGAGGTGGGTGCTGGGCAGTTTTGTCCTGGTTCTCCCAATCTATCAAGTTTTGCCTCTCTTATCTATTTCTAGGTTGAGGTGCCTGTGCCCCCTGCTTTGTGCGCGTTCTAGGTTGAGGTGCCTGTGCCTCCTGTCTCCCAACCTAGATATTATTTACGCTGTATAAAATGCATGACACTGTTGAACATATATTAAATGTTTTTGAAAAAATCAATTATTTGAAAAATGATTTTTTTTGGGAGAATGTATGATTAAATATAAAAAAAAATCCACTAGCAGATTTCTTGAGACAATTTTACCATTTTATTCAAATATCACGGGCCTGTCGGATGGCTATTTTGTCTAAATAGATGTTTCCTGCAATAGAGAAAAAAATGTCCAATACAGTCTGGAACACCAAATGCCATAGCTTTAACAGCAGTATATATGACAACAAATTTAATAGGACAACCATCGTACATTTAGTAAGGTAGATTGTACCGTTTGTCCAGTTGTGTCTAGTATTGCATACCAAACATGCATTTAAGGTATCTAAAATTGGGCTATTGTGCCTCCTCCAAAAGATAACACGTGAAAAGGGATACCGCGTCCTGCAAATGGCAGGACCGGAGGTCTTCTGGAATGGGTCCTCGAAACACAGTGTCGAAGCAGTTGAGCTGAGCCTCACGACTCGAACCTTCACTGCTGTCAGAAAGAAGCAGACTGCAGATCTCTTCTGCCATCTTTGAGTACGCAACCCTGAAACAAAAATATGAGACGTACAGTGAATCAAATGGATCCACAAAATAAGGGTAGAAGTGCAGGAGTAATGTTTTCTCAAGAAAGTATGCACTAGAATTTTCTGTGAAAGAAAATAGATTATGGGCTTGAAAAGTAGGATACATGATATCGATATGGTTCTTAACAACTAAACAATCACAATTGGGAATGTGGAAAATGCAATTGCCCAATAAAAAACTATATATTATGCAAGAGCATTACAGATGAAATTCCATCTAGAAACATGCATGCAAAAGGATCATTTTGACAATCCAGCATTGAATCTGTGCCTGGAAAGTAGACAGCATTGACATAAACAAGAGGCAGTCTTCTCTTCTCAACTCATTGATTCAAGAAATAAATCTCAGAACAGAAACGAGAGGGGTAGGGGCAGAAGGACAGCCACCCTATCCTTTGGGAACTCTTTCATTTGATATGAAAACTAATCATAAAATTACTCGAGATATGTATTTAACCCCACTCAAAAAGACTTACCACCACGGCCAATCCAAAACCAAAATAAGCAGAAACCTTTTTTAACTCTAACCTCCACCAGCCTCCATTTATGACTTTTGTATTCAAATGGTAAATTCTTAACCGGGACTCCACACCACAGTTGTGTAAAATAGGGTCCCTCCAAAATCTATAACCCTCATACCTCTCTTTCTTCCCTTTTTCTTCTTTAGAAACTCTTCGTTCCTCTTGAGGAGATCAAACACGTCGTTAATAGTTTATCATTCATCATCTTTAAACTAATAGACCTAAAGAGATTAAATTTTACAAATTGGTTCTGCATACTGGTAAATGGGAGTATTACTGGCACTTCATACTTAAACTCACCTGCACTCCATAATCAGGACTGCGGGGAAATTTTGAAGTGCCAATAACACTTCCATGGTAAAATAATCCCTACCACAATTGTTCTTTATCAGGTTATAGCAGTCATACATTCTTTTTGTGTCACCCTTTCATTTGTTCATTTTTGTTTATTCTTGGTGATTATTTTACCCTTTCATTACATTTGTTATTACTCTTATCACTATCTAATAAATAAAATAAAGATAAATGTTCGCTTATATGACTTGCCGCCATAGATTTCAAACATTGCATTTAGATTAAATAGGTCATATTGAAAATGAGAAAGTAGAATTAATTATTAAGGCCCCGTTTGAGCCAAATTATTATAGAATGAGAATGAAAAAAATAGCCGTTATTGGGGCCCACACAAGATATAGAAAATTTGAATTTAAATGTTGATATGATGGATAATGGTCATATTTTTCATTTTAATGAGATAATGATGTAAATCAAACGGGGGCTAAAACTTTAATTCCAAATAGTGGGATAGTGCAAACTCCATAGATTAAAATCTATCCATGCGTTCAAAGACGACAATGAGTTTCTTTTTAGGAATATCAGTTGACTCTTGGCTGAGAAAAACATAGAATAATCAGAGAACTGGCTCGGAACACTGGTAATCAAGGTAAATGAAATTGGTAGACCAAATGAAAAACAATATAGGACAAGCATTACAAATAGTAGTCAGCTGTTGACGAACAATAAGCAATCATCCGAAAAATAGTCAATGAATAAAGAATTGAGAAAGAAAGAACGTGGTGACCAAAAACTAGTAGTTTGATGCTAATTGCTACAGGGAAAAGACAGCCAAGCTGTGTATGTGCTTGTGATCATGCTTTCTTGCAAAGACGTAAATATCAATACCTTGCATCAACTGATAACTTGGTACTCCAAACTGCTAAAGACTTGTTTAGGCTTCCAATGAAGTCTCTACATGCATCATTTTTGTTCTCAAGAGTATCCTGTCAAATGGATGTTATTATCAGCCCTCAACAGAGCCCTAAAAGGATGTTTACAGAGCATCAAAACATATTAGAATAGATTAGGTTTTAGATATACTTTCTATTCCTTTCAAGACAACCAATAAAATTACCAATTCTCCTTGTCCCAGTTGGTTAGGGATTGTTGTTCCCACACATAAGGTAAAGGGTTTAAGGATTGGAACCTCCCTCCCCTCCCCCCCAACAAAAAAATAATAATTATTATTATGATAATAATGATGATGATAATAATAATAATAATAATAATAACAACAACAACAACAAGAAAAAAGGACAACTTTTAAAATTATGTTCGCATTCCAATGGAATATCATTTTCATTCTTTAGGTCTACCAACAGCAAATATGTGTTCGTTAAATATAAATTTCCTCTCAATCACTATGCTTTCAGATTCACAAACAAATTGTAAAACGTCACTTTATCCCCCAAAAGCTACTCACGGTAACCAACTTCATAAAACCAAAGACTTGATATACAGTGTTTTAGTAGAGAAACATTTGAGTTCACTGAAGAAATATGTCAGCTGGCCTTAAAATGCACATGAAGCATTTGAAAATGGTAACATTTGGGACTCTTGTCCTTCATGACATGCAAGAAGAATTCAGTTGCTGGCTTGATAGCTACATGCAATTGAAAATAAAGCTCTACAGACCAACGAAATCTAAATATCTGCTCTGATTTTGCTGCAATAAAAAGAAAATATAGTTCCAGTATATCAATACCAGGAAGCTTCAGAGAGTAACATGTACCATTGCAGTCAGGGTATTGCTGTCTTCCTGTAAGGAACTTTTTAATAAATAAAACGAAACATAAACTCCAGCGCCCAGATCCCAGTCTTCGATTTCTGACTTGTGGTCCTCCATGGATGTTGCAAGCCTCCAAATCTCTGAATGTCGCCCTACATGGCATTGATGTTTGTTCTCATTAAGACAATTGGAATTAATCCAAATATAAGAATTTTGAAAACAAAATTAAATGCCAACCACACAAGTATAAATAACTTTTTAAGCATTTAAGGTAATTACAATTCATTGGCCAACATGAACAGAAATGGTATAAGTACATCAGATTCATCACCTAATTCAAAGAAAGCTTATGTAAGCTGCTCACAATTCAACGAAGGGTGTCTGCTATCATTTAACCAGAAATATTCTTGTGATTGTTATTGTTCAGTTACATCAACTTCACCCTCTTGAATGGAAAATTGTGACTCTTCACTGAGGGTGAATTTCATAGGTACCCTTACTTATTCCCAGCTTAAGAAGAAAGAGGGAAACTAGCATCACATGGGGAGGGGTAATTAGGTAAATATTTGTAATCAATTGAGCCCCAATCGAATAAATAGGGGGAGTTGGGTATTCAAAACTCATTCAGAAATTGAGGAATTTGACGGAGAGAGTCGAGCTTATATAAAGATTCACATTACTTTGTAATTCCATTCAGTTTTCCTTTACATTCCTTCGTAATCTCATTTCATCGCCGTATTCATATAGTGCGGAAAATACCAAAATAGTTACTTTAAAATTGGTCCACTACAGATTTATACAATTGCCTCCAGGTTCCTACAAATTTTCCACATCCACTTTGAAAAATGTAAAAATTTCAAACATACATATAACTAATAACAACCAGGTTAATATATCTATCCCAACTGTCTTTGACGATAATACATCTGTCGTCAGTCAACAAGAATTGATATGTTGATGTACATAATATCAAGGCAGTACTCACTTGAGTCTAGTATCCTTTCATGCAGCAAGTCTCAACATATGAATATATGGTAACAGTATCAATTCTTTAAGGGACAACTTGACAAGAACTAAAATGGTGATTTGCCATGTTTTCGGAAAATCCAAATTAATTGGTGAGATATCAAATTACGGCAATTATAACGTTAAGAGCTTTCAAATCTCATTCCCTTAACTTCATACCATGATTCTCAATTTCTAATTCAACATAGGAGCTGAAAATTTATATTCTCGAGCATTCAATTATTGACCTCATAACAAATTAAATTCACTCAGGATAAAGTGACGGGCATGCACTGAGTAATGGAGATTAATATACTGATGAATAAATAAAATTAGATCTCTACCTGACAAAAACATAGAATGAACTACTGAACTTATGAAAATTGAGTGTGCCTTCTGCCAATTTGAACATTCAAGGAAGTGTTCTAAGGCCTTTAAGCTATCACCATTGTAATTGAAATATATAGCCTGCATTTGAATAAAGAGGAGGTAAGATGAGATCTCCCTCAAAGATCTAGAATTGTTTAGTGATAGTCATTAAAGAAAGCAACCTACTACTGTTAACAATGTTGAAAGAAATATTGATTTCCAGTCAAAAAAAAATATACAGAAGCCCAAATATCTAGACATCCTTAACTATACCCATTAAGAAGTACATGTAAAACAAAATCTCATGGAAACATATAGGAACATAATATTTTAGTTTTGAAATCTCGGAAGGATCTACCAGAAAAAAAACTAAACAGGTCCAATTCATGCAGTAAATTAAACTAATTCAAGGAAAATCATCTCACCAAAGCTTCATGCAACCATGCCAAAGGAATGCCCAGTTTTTCAATGAACTGCCGTTGTAAGACCTTCGTACTCCACACTTCACAATATTGTAAGAGAATTTCCCGAATAACAGTAGCTTGTAGATAAGGATAGTTTTCACGATGGGGCATATGAAGCACCACGTAAATGGCCCAATGACATTTCCCAAGACAGAGCAATTGGGAAACAAATCCCATGTCAAGAACATGAAGATCATTAGAACTGAAAGTACCAATGGCCTCTAAAACTGCACGCTGATGCCAAATCATGTGGTAGTCAAGTGGGTCATTTGTTGAGGCAAAAGCACTGAACATGGTCTTTAAAGCACCAAAATCATTTTCTTGTCTTGCATGAAGAAGCATAAGATAATAAGCAAGATCAAAACGTTCCACAGTCTCCCAATTATATGTATCCTCTTCTGTTAGACATTCATCAATGTAAACTGGAACTGGATTTGGCGCCCTTCCATCATTAACAAGCTTCTGGTAAGTGTTGAAGACATCGGGCAATGAAGTGTCAGGTGGAACCTGATACCACATCAACAATCCTAGGAACCTTTTCCAGTCAATTTTCACACCATGCAATGCTCCATGAATGTTACCGGAAAGTAACTCAAGAAGCCTCACCCTTTCCTCCTCAATAAAACTGAAGTCCATTCCATTTTTTCTCCAAAGATCAAGCTGATGAGCAATGTCAGCGCGATTGGCAATGGAACCACCAGCCTGGCTCAAAAGACAAGCCAGTCTCACGTCCCCTCTGGAAGCAGCAAGTTCCACAGCTGCATCCATATCTCGTCCAGTAAGAAGCAAGAATATGTGCTCTAAATCACTACAATCATTCAATGAACTTACTTCCTCTTGTACACGGTGGTAAACACTCTCTTGCAGCCAACAACTAAATTCTGCTCGCCTTGTTAGTGGAAGTGCTTCCAAGTCAATCTGAGGAGCACTTTCCGTACCATCAGGCATCATATCTTCCTCATTGTCAGCTTTCACAGACTTTGATTTCCCACTAATTTTCCTAGAGGAAAAGAGAACCTTAATTAACTCCCATACCATCACTTGGTGCATTAAAAAAACTCGCGAAGCAGATGATAAACCAGGCACCTCCAGTTGCCTCTCAATGATGCCTATGTAACTCCGACAAATCTCTGACAGCGTCATGCGATTGCAGACAAGTTTTTGAAGCTTTAATTTGAAAGATCCCAGTTCAACTTCTTTTGTTTCATGAGTTAATTCCTTGTGAAGATTGAGAGGAGAATCAAAACAAAAATCGCTGAGTTCCTCTTTCACTTTGTTATTTTCATCCCTTGTAGCATTATCAATCGCAACCTTTTCGAGATTGATCACTGAAGATAATACATTTTGGTGGTCAGTACTGCCAACAGGCCTGCCACAATGAACAAGGATACCGTTAGGGCCCCACCCTACTCGAAATGATCTACCCATGAATAATGCTGCATCAACTATATTATGTGAATGGCTACCACTTACTGGTGTTTCATGCTTAAGGTCGAGCTTAAAACCATCATATGTTGATGCCTTCGGGTGCAAACCCTTATTTTGTTGAACCATCAAAATGGATCCAGGAGAACTAGAGCTATAACTTCCAGGGTTATACTCTATCAAAGCTAATGGAGTCTTGCGAATCATGGGAGGACTTGTCTTGCGAGCTAATCTCTGAGAAGAATGATGAAATGGAGATCTTAAGGATTCTTTAGCAAAATGTGGTCGCTCACGTGAATGCATAGCATTGAAATCCTCTAAGTCCTCTTCCTCAGCAGGAAACATCAACATCCTCATTTCTCTCATCTTGACAGGATCAAGCCCAAGATGAGCAGGTAAAGAATGTGAAAGCAGAGTTGGGTCCACTGGAGCAGTTTCGTTATCAATATCTGAAACCTCACCATCAATCATCTCTGCAGGATCTTGAGCTTCAGGAGACACATCATTCATTATAATATCTTCTTCGTCATCTTCACTCAGGCCAAATCTGCTAAAATGCGGTACTAAGAATTTCCACTCACTGTTTATTGGGTCAAATGAGATCAATTTTGCTCCCTGACTCTCTGTCTTGTGCTTCAACTTTCCCAGAACTTCTTTTAGCCAATCCTCATTACAAGGATTTAAAGATTTTACTCGCAATAGTAGAGTTACTTCAGCTGGCTTGTTAAGGCCCTGACCAACCACTGGCTTAGAGCTTTCATCTTCATATAAAACGATCTCACCTCTATTGAACTTGATGATTTGGTCTAAATTCAACCATCTAACATCTGTTTCCCCAATAAATTTAACACATCCATAACCGACCCTGCCAACAGTAAAATCCTGAACTCTGCTACAAAAGCCTGGATTCAAGAATTCCAGAGTAGACAGTTCGCTCAAGCAAGGCTCCGTATAATAATCAGAAGATTGCAATGTTGGTAAAGAATCTTCAATGTCACGTACACAACATGACAGGTTATCAGCACTGTCCAGAGAAATTCTTCTTCTCTTATGTTGTGATTGGGGAGCGAGAACACGGTTTAATATCCCTACATCAACTTCCATTCTTGGATCCAATCAATCTACACTATGAATTTGAAGTCCCCTAAAATATGCCGCAGGCCACTGATAACAGGATATGTAACTCATATTAGACAAAAAAAAGCCATATCTCAAACGAAAAATCTCTAGATCAACTAAACAAGCGACAAATTATCATTAATATCGCCCCGTCCCTTGAAAGTTCAGGTAAAGAAAAGGTGTAAAACATAAGGACCTGAAAACTTTATTCCTCTAAATAAATAAAATAAACGTACAAACTTTTGATTGTTCATACTTTCCTTGTTTTGGAAAGCCCTTTTGTCCGAGTTAAATAGTTACTGCTCTTAATAAGCTACAATAGTATTTGAGAAGTCCCTCTGGCCCCAACATTCCAAATCAATTTGCTGGAGTCACCCCTTAGGCATCATATCAAAATAAAAATCTTCGCTCCTTTCAACAAAACCCTAGAATTTCCAAATCAAGGAGAAACATATTCCCAGCATTTGCATTTAGTAAGTGAAAAGATAAATCAGAACTCAAATTGCAGATTCACATAGGCCTTAGTACTGAACACTTAAAACATATTGAAATTTTATATTTGATTAAAATAACCAGTTATCATCCACATACGCATACCTACATAGACACATATAGCAAACACTGGTAAGTATTCACACTGAACTCCAGAATTAACAGTAAGTGCTCCATAAATCTGAAGTAATCTGTTTAATAAAATTTTAAAAAATATATACACAAAAATAAAGATTAAATACTGGAACAATATACTAAAGCGCCAAATCTCCAGCAATTCAAACTAATACTTGAATATCATTGTCGAAAATATTTATCAAATCAGACATGTAGCAATGGAACTGACCCGTTTAAGAGGAATTCGGGTTATCTGGGATCCGATTTACGTTTTCACTGCAAGAGAAAGAGAGCACCGCTCGGCGGGAGAGAGGAAAGGGGGAGAGGGTTTTAGAGTTTGATTGGATGGAAGTAATTATTTTCATTTAATTTATTTTAAAGTTTGACCTCTAACCTTTGAATTAATTGATATTTTGCCCATATCTTTTTGTCATATTCATATTTAGCCTCTATTTTACAACGATTAAAATCTAGATTATTTATTTAAGTCAAAGTTATCAATTAATTTTAATCATTTATATAAAGGGTCAACAATTTTTATCAAAATCTACTAAAAACTGATTTTACTGTCCACCAAACAGGGCTTAATTAGTTGAACTAGACGAAATTCCGAAGTTATTTTGTCTATTTAATTATCAAACATATTGAAAGGCATTCGAGTTATTTCACTATAGCAATGGACGTGATTATCACATTGGACATTATTGGTCCAAGCTCAACTTAAATAAATTTCAATATTTTCTCAAATTTATGTTTATAAGAGTGTTGAACTAAATATTTTCAAATCTTATTACGTGGTTTGCGAAAGGATATTAGTATTGAAAATGAATTTTATTATTCTATTCGAGAAAAGTTTTGTTTTATATTTGGCTAGCTAGATGAACATATCAAGTTAGAACTAACTTACTCGTTCGACCAAGTTTTAAATTTTTTTTAAAAAGAAAAGGCAAAATTTAATTAAAGAGAAATTCAATCTTAATATGTATCATGTTTGTTGTCGGTGGACAACTCACGAAAGAATAACTTTAGCCTAGTAATGTTATACCAATTCCATTAGTGACATTAAGTTTGACGTTTCTTTTTTTACGGTGTAAAGTGACACACTTTTTTACCCTTGATTTCTACACTTACAATAATTTATGACACAAATTTTTACACCTCATACAATATCAACCTTGAATAGTGTTTTCCAATGCTATAGAGCTTCATAGTTACAATTTTAATTTTTTAAATTTTAAATTATTATTATTATTATTAGCCGTTATTGTTGACTTTTATTAGACGAGTGGGGCTCAATAACGGCCATATTTTCAATTTTAATTGACTTTTAATCCCTCCCGAACGGGGTCTTAATTAGTCTTTAAAAACTATTTTATAAAGGGTTATCATTTTCGAAAAAACTTTTAGAGGAAATCATATTTAATCACCTTTCTCTAAAAACTTTTCTAACTAGAAAAAAAAAACTTTTATAAAATTAATCAAGTGGGACCAAAAGAAATTATTGGATTCCAAAATCTCATTTTAACTTCTTAAAAGTCATGTCAAACGAATCATACATTGTATTGAATAATATTAACTAGCAGGAGTAGTAAATAGATCATAATCGTAATTTTTAATGGAATCAATAATCTAATGTCACTTTCCACCTAGACGAGTGCTAAATGGGACTACTTTATTTCATTATTCCCTTTCAGATTTTAGTCCAATAATTGAGTCTGGTTATCAAAAACTAAAGTGTGTCACAAATTCTGTGGATTGTTTGAAAAAGATTTGGATAAAAGTTTTAATAAATTCTTATAGAAGTTTTGAATCCTATCAAATATGTACTTAAATTTACCCTTTTTTTTTTTTTTCACCTCAACTTTTTAACAAATTTTTAAACTTTTTCAAACAAGCACTTTATCATGAGTAAATTGCCTAAAACCATACCTTTAAAAGTTTTAATTTCAAAAATCAAGTCTTAATTTTTTTTATTATTTTTTACAATCATCAAATGATAATTATTTTTTAATTACCCACCGTACATAATACATTATCAATTCCTATCCAACTCCCACACGGCCACGCCCTGATGACCCACTTACCCCCACCCCCAATCCTCGATTCGAAATGGTCATCTATGAACACCTCTTTTGCCTTTGCTTGGAGATTCGATGACGACACCACTGTTATAGATTGATACAATGAATCTCGTGCTTGTGATTTGGTCTGCATGATTCAGAAACCTTTAGAGAGATAATACAGGTAAATCGAGGGGAGGGGGAGGGGGGGCGGGGGGGGAATTGCTAGAGGTGAACTAACTTCTATAATACCCATGCATTGCCCTAGCTTCTTCATCGGTGGTGTCGGGGATGTTCGGAAAGGTTCATTCCACGCACTGTTCTCATGGACCTCGAGATGTGAACAATGGACAATATCGATCATGGCCGTACAGGCATATCGAATTCCTCCTTGCTTCTTCTGCCTTGGGGTGATATTTTGGAGTGGTGGTTGGTAAGTTTGGTGTATTTTTTGTTGATGGTGGTGGTTGTTTTGCAGTTGCATATTATGGTTGTTGTTGGTGGTGAACTGGTAGCGTATATGGTGGTTAACGGATGGCGATGGTTATGGATCAAGTTTGGAGGATAGAGAAATGAGAAGTGGGAAGTGCTTTGAAAGTGCAGCATATAGATTAAATGGTGGTGGCGGTGACCATTTATACGTTAATTGTAACTCACTTGACTAAGTCCATGTTAATTGTAACCAATTGTGATCAAATCTATCTTCATTGTGATTGTCTGTAACTAGATGTATGTCATCAAATTAACTGTGACTTGATCTCATACAATCAAAAATTAGACTAATATAGTCACAGACAGTTACACTAAAGATAAATTTGGTTACAGTTAGTCACAGATAACACAACAATAACAACTTACATTGTACCCAGTACGCACCACCACTTAGATCAATTCCAATATACTATCATCACTTGCAATGCACCATCATTGTCACCACGCAGATCTCTTTCCTAAACACGATTGCCACCACCTCCACCTCCACGCAGGTGAAGTCCAACACTCCCAACATATTTTAACATGTAACCTTTTATTTTTTTATTTTTTTGGTAAAATATCCTAGCTTGAAAATCCAAGCCGTAGGATGTAGTTAATTGAGAATGCTGAAAATCTGGGAATTCAAATTCAAAGCATGAAAATTCTAATGTAATAAGAGCAGCAATGGTGGAAATGACGAATCCAAACTCGTATATTTGATAAATTCTCCTCTGGTATAGTTTCATCGGTTGTTAAATTTTGATTAGTTCTGTAGAATCGACTCTCATAAGAATTCAATTGAGCAATCATATTTTATAACAGGTAACGTTACATTGTATTCTCCTTCTTTTATGTAATCTTACAAAATATGTTTTGTCTTTCGATTTCACTTTATAATTTGTTTGATTCGGATGAATGGGACTTGAGAGAATTACATAATTTATTTCACGCATTCCAGATTATGAATGATTTTCCATTAATTCTATACCGATTAATTTTATCATAATTTAGTTCTTTTCCACTTTTTTTTTTCTCTTATCTTAGCATGCAATGCGATGCGATGACGTTTGGTATTCTATTACCAATTGGATGCAAGTAAGGGGATCTAGTTGACATGATAACCGCCGACATGCAAGTAGACAAAAGGTCTTCTTGCTAGAAGATAGATTACGATGTAGGTGATAACATGGCCTCGGGGAGTATCACATATGAAAATTTACTCCTGTTCTATATGGAGCTAAGCCCCTGTTTGGCCCTCATTAATTTTCATTTTTGCACATTTTCACACTTTTCAACACACTAGCCTATCAATTGAGTCAATCACGTGTCGGATGCATTTATTTTGAAGACAACCGTTGGTCAATTAAAGGACGAAAACACCCTCGCACTCATTTTGACATTTACACAATAGTAGGGGCGAAATTGTCATTCATAATATTATTAGTTGTATTAAAATATAAAAAATTCATTTTAAATTCATTTCCATTGCGTCAAAGAATCAGTGGGTCCCAGCCGCCTACAAAAATTGACCGAAGAAAATTTAATTTAATGAACCAAAATGGGGCCAAATAGGGGCTAAAGAAGAAGCATTGTCTGGATGTAATACTAGTGAATATGTCTAAACAAAATGCAGATGAATTTGATGAAGAAGTGCAATGTCCGAGTTCAACAGTTTGTCCTCAAATGGATCCTCATCATCTTTGCATATATATAATCATCATTCAGATACAACGTTCCCAACAATATAGGACTTTGCTTCAACAATGCAGATCGCAAATCAGCCACTGATTGAAGACTCTGGGGAGAATAACATTGAGAAAACGAAACCTGGTGTTGACGTTGTTGCTAAAAATCAGATATTCAAGGACAAGAAGCTGATGAGGAGAGGAGTGTTATTGCATTATATGCTATTCGAAACAACTTCCAAAATGTAACACCCCAAAATTGTAGAAATCTTGAAGTGTTACAAAAAAATTCAATTTTCTTTATATCAATTGTGGAACGATAAAATAATATTTTTTTAATAAAAAATATAACTGAAATGTCCATAAATTAAACTAAACATGAAAATTGTATAAGAAAATAATATAATCACTAATTAAATAACGTGCCTTTGAACAATTAAAACTAACTTGTAACTTAAAGGAAAAAAAATAAAACTGAATATTTTTATTTATTCAATTCCTTCGACAGTCCACATCACCATCCCACTACAGTCTCAATCGACTTGAACTAACTTGTAAAATTTTGTAAGAATGAGCATTTAAAAATACCCAATAAGATACGTACAGTTCTCATACACAATTACATAACAATAAAATAAACACTTCATACCACTCTTCTCTTATGAAGTATATCGATGACCAATTGACACAGTATTTTAGGCCATCTTAAATTCTCGTATGATTTCTTATCTTTTAATAAAGAATATGAAAGTCCATTTTCAATTCATGCATAAATTATTGAATATAAATGTATAAGAAAATAAACCACTTACAAAAGAGTATCTTATCATGATTGATCAAACAAGTTTTTGATTAAAAAAAATATATAGTTGATATTTACAGCTACTTTATATGAAAGTTGCATTGGTGGTGAATTATGGGACAATTACACACTACTTATAGTAAAAAAAAAAAAAAATAGTGGTTGAGTCAATTGAAATGGAAAATCGTGTCTATCAAATTAGATAAGAATTGAATTCAAATAATAGAATTATGATTACTTTTAAACTTTATCAAATTAAGATTGCAATCAAACTCTATCCAAATCACAAAAAGATTATCATTATCAAAATCAACATTTATCACTATATCGATACATAATTATTTGGTCCAAATAAAATAGGAATTTTAAACCTATTTCATTTTAGTCCTTTTTTTTTCAAAATATTAAAACTATACTGTATAAAACAAATAAAATTTTATTCTAAAATTTTTGGGGCATTACAAATCAATACTATTTACAGAGGAAGGTTCAAAGCCGGAAGCTACGTTACCCGATGCAGTGTTTTCCTACTCTCTATCTACAATGCATCATATTTCACATTGCATAAACATATTTGAATTTTCATTCATGTAGGAGATTGTTGGAATTTGGGTTAAAGATTGAAAATTTTGATTTTAATTATAAACTTGAAAAATGACTTTGTGTCAACTTCGATCAAATATTTGGACTTGATCCGATAGTTATATTATAAAAATAAATATACTAACTTGTTCTACTTGT